TAACGCCACATTTACTACTAAATTAAACCAACAATAGTGATATTTTGTATATCCATAAAACAAACAAATTAACATTGACATACATTTTTCTTTTCAAGGTTTTTTTCTTTTCAAGGTTTTTTTTTTTTTTTTTCAACGCACAATTGGCAACAGCATAATAGTATGGACCTTCCGGAGTGTCAATTAAACTGGACAACTGACCAATCAGAACATTGCCATGAATACGCGCGTGTCCAACAAGCCCACGTGTTCTCCCACAAGCGCACGTGTTCGCGTATGTATTAACAATGGCTTTATTTACACACAGAACCTACGGCTAGCAGAATCCGGATTACAAACATACGCACTCACCCGTGCGTTCATACAAGAAAATCCCCGAATCGGATACCAACAGAATGATGATCGAATCAGTGGCCAATAGGAAACTGTAAATTAGAAATGCGTACGTATGTTTGGTTAATGACAGGTACGCGCTCAACTTGCTAATCCGGATCCTGGTAACGGTTAGCGTAACTGATCGGGTGATCTCACAAGGCCGTAGCAAAGATTTGTAAAGGGGTTTCGATTTTTTCAGAAGAGGGCGAATTTTAATATTATAGAAAAATGGTTGATGGTGAAATATGCATGCAAAATCCAAATGTTGGACTTGTGACCAATGACAGTTGTTACACAGTACTAATTTCATGAAATCGATTCTTAGATGGCCAGAACTCTCGCTCTAGAATTGTTTTACATACACTTTCAAAAGGGCACTTCTTTAAAAAAAAAAAAAGGGGGGGGGGTTCATTCGAGCCCTTCTAACTCCTTTGGCTACGGCCTTGTCTCACACGGGTGCTAACTGTTAGCGCTAACTGTTAGCTGCCGATCCGGATCCTATAGGGCTCTCGTGTGAACCTGACCAATATCGCCTTGTTGGACCTCAGTAACAATATCCAAGGGGCGGGGCATAGCGGAAAGATCCATTACAGTTCAACAACGCGAACATAAACGATAGAACAATTTAAAATCATAAATCTGAAGCTTTGTCCATACACTATCAAATTTTATGTAACAAATACTGTTTGCCCATATTTTGGTGTAAATATGACATCATGCGCAATATATGGGCACATTACACAAATTTGTCACAAAATTTGCTATGTGGACAGAGCTTGAGAACTAATTGAAACCTTAATACAGAATCGACGAAACATTTATAATCGGAATATACGTAAACATTTTACGAACCGAATCTACATTATTATATCAAAACAATTATAATATTCAAAATGTTCTCTTTTTTCTTTATATTATTAAAACATTAAAATATAATGCTCGTTTTTTTTTATTATAATAAATTATTTACAGTCTTTAATTTCAGTATTTTAAAGATCAAGGAGTCCGTCTTGGCTTCCTCGACGCGAGGATAAGAACGTTGCCTCGCTGTCTCGCCTCAGACTATAGTATCCTACTTCGCCTCCTCTGGGTAAGTCGAGAAAAGCGCCCTCACTACCCCTTCTCAGCACGTCAAGCAAACCGGCTTCACTTCCCCTGCGAACATCCTGTAAAAAAAAGAACATATTGATTTTCCATTTAACCTGAGTATGTCCATAGCCTGTCGTTTTCTACAATCATGTTATGCCAAAAAAAAACATTGAACAAACCCGGAAACATTTATTAAAACCAGGGAAAAGTAAAACGTAACAGAACCGAAACACGAACTCGAGACCTTTCGCATAGTCCTACATAACATAAACTATGTATGTGGTATTTGTGTAGAAGTATAAGAGTACTTTTGGTTTGAATCACAACGAGCAACGGATTCAGTGGGGCAAGCCGGCCGGCCCCCGCACCCCGCCCCCTACATTTTTCGAAATTATTTAAAAAATATGGAGGAAAAAAAGAAAATATTCATCAAATTTAGGTCTGAGAATGCCATTTCCGGCCATCAGGTGCCATAATCTTTTTTTTTTTTAACTCTCCATCTGTAAAAGTCCTTCCCTGAGCCCTCCACTGCCGAGGGTAACCCACTAAGTCCATAGACTTGTTTCCAGTGAGGTCCTTAATTCGGCAGTGCACCGAGAGAGACAATCCCCTATACTTTTCCGAAGAGCGCACTGCGTTCTTTAGCGTACGTGTTGCACACGGCCTAAACGTCTCAACCGAAACACAGTGCGCTATCATAACCTAATCATAACCACCAGTTTAGCCGACTGAGCTGTGCTGTACCAAATCCATGTTCCAGTCCATGTTCCAGTAATAGCGATGTATATGGTATTTGATTTAAACATTAATATTGCCACACAGGCATAAATTCTGATATTAACTATAGCAATTTAAAATTTGTTCACATATACATATAATTATAAACCTTCACCCTAAACTGCCTGCAACAATCGTGCGAGTTCCTTTCAGGTCTTTGGTCGCCTCATATTACCATATTTTAGCGCCCCTCAACCACCGAGCGCCTCCCCTTCTCCCCCCCCCCACACACACACACACTTCACCTTAGTTCCCTCCCATCAGCCTCCCATTTCAAGAGGGGTAACAAAGAAATTAAAAACTTGGTGCTTATATTAATTTATGACGTGGTACAAGTTTAAGGTGAGATCTTGTAGTACACTGTACGTGCAGCTTACCGTATTCATTCTTTTTTTTAAATTAATATGCCACTGTATCGAATATGATATGTATGAGCATCATCGTCGTCCTCAAAATGATCAACCCCCCCCCCCACACACACAAACACCCCCCCCCAACCCCCCCTCCCCCCACA